TCGATTGACTGGTGCCTTAGCTATACTTGTTTTCTTATAACAGTCAGTTAGTTTGTGTTATCACTTACTTTTTGTGATTTTACTATTGTGATTTCATTTGTATGTTATTCATATTTCTCACAAGGCTTTGCCAATAAGAATTTATTCTTCGGACAAATTTCAAAAATCAGTAAATTTTTTGCATGTTTCTTTTCAGACTAAGTTTGATAAGAAAAACAGACTCAAAATGACTCCTTCGTACCACGTACATCCGATTAGAAAAACACATTAGTTGTTCGTCATTCAGTACGATAAAACATTTCTGAAGATTTATTTATACATCAATACGGATTAGCACGTTCATCTCAACATATTGAGTGTTATAAAAATAGAAAACATTTCTAAAGAAATAAGTGAAGTTTACCAATCGTTAAATGGTGGAAATTCTATTTACTTTCCGCCTCAATTCCCAAATAATCAACCGTTTTATGTAATGTATTGAAATTTAAAATAAACATATTTCATTATATTGGGCAACTGAAAAGGTTATTGCTATCATTGAGAGTGGCTAGAGAAACTATAATTTTTCAACAATTGCTCGACTACTCGTAAAAGAATAAAATTTAAAATTTTATGGAATTTTTATGGTTTTATGTGTTGTGAATTGAACACTGTTATGTCGTTTCAAACGTTTTGTCCGTTTCAATGTCATGTGTTTTCGTGGTAAATTTTCGTTTTGTGGACACCCGGCGATTTTGAAAAAATGTTTGACTGTACTTACGTATTTTGATGCGTAGATTACGAATCCGAAAGAAAAAAGCGGCGCTCTCCCTTATTTAAAAAGTTACGGTCCTTCAAAGTTCGGAAAAGGGCAACTTTTCAGCCTTCTTTTTCACCAAATAAACTATTTAAAAACACAAGCTAGGTCATCTTTACACCTTACTCCTCCTTCTTTAACACTTTTCACTTCAATAATCATTTTTCTTATAAAAATGTTAATGTTTACGTTTTTAAAGTTAATGATATGGTTGGTAGGACTGATGTAGTCAATATTCCTAAAGTAATTCAAATGTTTCTTGCCTTAATTATTTAGCTCGTAAATTGGTTTTTGGCACTTTTCTTAAAATTACAACAAATGTACTGAGCTTTTTTCTTCTGTATTTTCATAATCCGCTTTCTATTGCATCTATACCATGAAGTGTCATAATTTAATTTGCACTCTTCATTGCAATTAGTACAACGTATTGTTGCTGCAAACACTCCTATTTGAACGAAATATAGAATTAAATTATTTCCTACTTTCACTAAATTATGAGTTTCGTTCAAATTCATTTTGTATTTTTCTCTCACGTCAAACTAAAAATTCAAATCTACGCTTTTTTCTGAAATGTCACTAGTATCTAACCTACAAATATAAGAGTGTCACCAGGAGAAGCATTCGTTTTTAAATTAAGTTTTTTTATAAGAAAAATGTTGATTATTGAAGTGAAAAGTGTCAAAGAAGGAGGAATAAGGTGTAAAGGTGACCTAGTGAATAAATGCTTGTGTTTTTAAATAGTTTATTTGGTGAAAAAGAAGGCTGAAAAGTTGCCCTTTTCTGAACTTTGAAGGGCCGTAACTTTTTAAATAAAGAAGAGCGCCGCTTTTTTCTTTCGGATTCGTAATCTACGCATCAAAATACAGTCAAACATTTTTTCAAAATCGCCGAAAATTTACCATTCTAAGATATTTGCAGTTATTTCTTTTGATTATTTATTTCTTTACTTCTTCGACAGATGTCAAAGAAGTTTTGAAATATGAAATTATGTCAAAGTTGTTGATTGACAACTGAAACATTCGATGTAATACAAGGTGCTCTCCGATATCAGTCTGTTGCCATTTCGCAACTATCCAAATTTTTCTTCAATACGGGTAGCCAAGTACAGTATATTTATAAGGAGCTGTTAGAGATAAAATTATCTCCAGATATGAGAATATACGCTAATTCTTTTAGCTTACGTGTCTTAGAGTGAGGCTCATTGGTAATCATTCTTGTCTTGTTCCATTCAACTCGACCTTCGTCGTCTAATTTCAAAATGTGTTCTGATAATTTAGATCCTGTCAATTGTCTATTTTTTATGTAGTATCGATGTTCATTCTCACGCACTTTCAATGGTCTCGAGGTTTCTCCAATATAACTTTTACCACAAGCACATGAATGCAATTTTTTGTTTTTTCTTCAGTGTTGTTGGGTTTCATATGTTTGACTATAGATCTCAGTGTAGTTTTTGTTATGAAAGTAGTTCTAACATAATACCTTCTTACAATTCGTCTTATTTTCTCAGATAGTCCTGGAATGTAAGGTATAACGTTAGTTGTGAAAGGTGTCGGTGGATGTTGAGTCTGTAATTGTTGAATTTGTGAAGCTGTTTGTACGTTCGTTTGGTTTTTAATTGACTCTTTATTTTCTATTACATTTATCGTTGAATTTATGAACGAATCTGGATAAAAGTTATCTTTCAGAACAGATTTACTTAATGATATTTCTTTATGAAAATTTTCAGTAAAATTGCATATCGATTCAACACTCGCATAACGATTCGATGTATAGTGAATATATCTGTTTGTATGAGTTTTCACTTGATAAACATTCGTATCAAATTGATCTGATGACTTCTTCAACATAACTATAAACTGGACTGGTCTTTTATAATGAAAATGGCAGCTTTGGAAATTCTTTTCTTCTAGCTGTTTAGGTACTTTGAATTTTTGAAAAATCGTAATAATACTGGCCAGTTACCAGAAGAGACTCGGGTTATGTTCGACCAAGCAGGCCCAAGATTATACCTTGAGTAGTCCGTGCTTTGAACTACAAGATTTATTCTGTCTCTTCGATTTCAACTAGTATATTTTCCTTCAGCTTCAACAGAGATAGTTCATGCAATGTTATTGAAACCTGAGAGTCAAAATTCTGTAGCTAATTCTCCAAATCCAGGAAGTGGATTTGATAACATCCATAACACATCACCTGGCGACCTTGTGATGCATCACCTTCACTTGTGATACAATGTTTGGAACCTTCGGTACCCAGCTTCTTTCAATTATTTTCCATCCGCACGGAAGGAATAATTGGGGCTTCATTTCCCTACTGACATATGTTTAGTTGTCAAACTTGCCGAATTCATTCATGCCAAAATTCTTTTCTCAATTGTACTTAAATATTACAGGAGTTTTTTCCCAACACAAAACCGTTATTTTAACACCTCGACATGTGTTTCGATCACCAAGTGATCATCTTTAAGATGAAGACTAAACTTCACTGTGAAATTTACAGTTAACAAATCCGCAACACGTGTTTTATAGTGAAACACGTGTTGTGGTTTTATAACCTATTCAGCAAAGAGAAGATGGCAACAGTGGAGTGAGTATGTATGTGATAGTTGCTCTGTTGAAACAATTACAAATTTCCAAAACCACGACAAACTATCGTGTCCCTAAATTGGAGAAATAACGGAGAAACTGCAAGAGTGACCGCAATCAAGGTATATTTTGAATCCCTGTGAAGTAACTATTAGACCAATATGGCAATGCTGAACGATGTATTTTAATGATTATAACTACTTTCCAGAAATTATGAATACTTGTGAAATTGAGACAGTTTAGAATCATATTGACAGTGGGTATGCAAAAACTAATATTTCCTGTCTTATCACATCCGGAGAGTTATTATCTAAAAACTAATCCTTCACAGTAAAAGCACCAAAACTGAAAAAATCGAGAATTTTGATTCACTTTCGTTTCAATAATCCACTTCAAAATTCGTAATGAATCATTACAGGAAAGTTTTAGAAGCTGGTTTCATTTTTTCCATAGCACTGTTTTCCACTCAATGATATAATAATGCTGTCAAATATCAAAACGTTCTGAACAAGGTTATGGTCAAAAATGTCAAAGGTGCAACGTCAGATGTCACCTGACATCAGTGTTGCCAAAGCACAAAGTCTAAGTGATGTCCTTCCCGTAGATTTTTTCTATAGAATGTCGGCCACGAACAATATCTATAGTTGGTAGAATTTCAGAACTCAACAAATACTCCAAGTGAGGAGCTTTGCTTATTTCGAATTATTTCATTTGGTAAATTTATGTAATACTTGCAAAACTGAAACTCTAATAGCATTTTTGCGTCTCATTTGTAAATTATTATAACCGAATGATATTTTTCAACCTTGGCTATAAATGAATATTAATAAACACATCGACATATGAATCATACAGCTAAATCTGTACATAGTCCAACTTTTTTGGATCTACGTTGACGTGCGGACTGTAAACGTCCAATCCAGTTGATTTACAGTCATCTTAATAGTGTTATTTACAGCAATTATCGGTCTGGCAATGGATATGTTTGATCATTTCACAGTGAAATTTGATTTACGGAAGCAGTATTTTTTCACTGCGTTCTGTTTCTACTAGAGTAAAAAATTGAGTAAAACTTATTGTTTTTGAAAGAAGATAACATAATTCTTGAACTTTTCCAGATATAAATCTGAAGAATATCATTCTGAAGAATCATAAGATCAGTTTGCCTCAGTAATATCGTATTTGCAAACTTGTCTATCAAATAAGTTGAAGTTAATTATGTGCTTAATTTTTATTTGAATAAAAATTATCGTTTAAAAAATGTGTTCCTCTAGTAAAACTACTGATACTTCTGATACTTATTGTATACTCCTCATTGACATACATAACGATAAATTATATTTTGAATGTTACTGAAAGAGCATAGCTGTATCCATTAACGAATTTATTTGATCGAGTGGCAGTAAAATCAGAACTAACAATCACACACTGTTGTGATAATGGAGATTTTGCGGATTTCACGGATTATTTCATGATTACTGGCATTTCACGAAGTAATAAAAGCACACATTCGTGATTGTTACATGTGTTTTCACAATTTAAACTTTTTTTTCAACTAGAGATTATTAACATGTCAATAGCTTGTAAGATGATGTCTTTAATTGGTATTAAAGGAGTACTTACCCCATCTGGATTATGTTTGTAAGGAGGCCCGGCACCACAAAATTCTACTAAAACGTCTTGTAGTTTTTTCGTGGAATCTGAAATAAGAACATAAATGTATTACTCAGAAATTCATATTCGGTCAGGATAAATAAAATACAAAGTTATAAAAAGATGTATCATGACGAAGCTTTCGAAGAATTCATACTTTCCAGTTCATAAAACCATTACCTCATTACCCAATTACCCCTCTTCCAATGAACTATTTAAAACTCTCACTATTAGGGTGTGAAAATTGGATGGTGAAATATTGATTTTGTTTTCCAGTTCCACTCCTGCTGTAAGCAGTTTCATCGGACCAGAACCTGTCATTGACATCGCTTTAGGTTTTGCCAAACAAACATTGAACACCAGGAAGGGAAGAAGATTTATGGACATCTGTCAGAATCTTCCAGGATTGACTCACTCCAAGGCGTTTATTCTCCCTTCGTAGCTTGATACCAAACAGTTGTTGGACTACAGTAGAGATGAACTACGATGTCTAACAGGCCTTCCTACAGGTCACTGTCATTTGAATCATCATATGACTGTCGGAAGACAGTGTGTGTCACCTCTGTACAGCAAAGCATGTACTTTGTGTCTGCCCCGCTGGGGACCGAATCAGGTTTTTAGAGTTTGGCAGAGCCATATTCTTACCATCTGACCTGAAAGACCACTCAACATACATACTTATAGGTGTGAGCCACAATAAACCCTTTGCGGGTTACGGTGGAAGGTCAAATAGACCCACTTACTTTTGACCTAAGCTAACCTAACCTATAGATATGATCCAGCACATATTTGGTACACTTGCATTGCTTCATGTAGCTCTCCCGCTTTCGATGCAATCAGACATCGCAGAGGAACATAGACTCGCTGAGCCCTGTTAACTTCGGCAGCTGCCGAAGACTCACTGCGAATCAGGTAGAACTCCTTTGTTGAAGCAGTTTCAGATCATCTTTCTTTTGACCATATGTCCAGTTCCGAGGAATCGGATCAATCAATCCTTATTTATAGCATATGCTATATTGATGGAATGCTCTCAAGGACCACTATAATCTTTGATAACACAAATCCATATAGGTTGATATGGTGACATGGAAGGGGATCTTTCTACGTAGATGATAAACCAAGTCGTTTGTCTTCCCACCCACCAAGTGGTTGCCTTTCCAATACCTCTGTAGTTAAAGGCAGACTTCCTTTTTCTTCGGAGCTACCGGTATAGCCACACAACGTCGTCTCTTCGGAACTCGGTGCACTGACATTCCAGTCCAGCTCATTCTTCATCCTGTCGCTATAAACTAGGCGTTTCCTAGTGAGAAATTCGCATCTATTGCAGCATTCCTCTACGTCACCCTAATAGTTGAACCAATATTTTGTCTCAATCTTGTCAGGGTCCTGTTGGTGCCGAAGTGTTTTTCCACTTCTATTTATTTGCTCCAGCACAGTAAGTGCTTTTACTACGACCAGCTGATGTACAAGCGTTGCTTCATCTGGGCTTTCCTACTTTCGATCAATAAACCATCGCTGAGGAATAGTTACTCCTACTGAGCCCATTAGGCCTTACCCCTTTTGCCAAACGTGGATTCTCATCGCCAATCAAGTCAAAATAGTTCGTTGATACAGCTTTGAAGCAGCTTCAGATTATCTTTCTTCTGACCATAGGTCCAGTCCAGTAGAATCGGATTGATCAATCTTCATTCGCCCCTTTGAGCTCACGAAGCTATTGGACACGTCACTATAACGAGCCCCAAGATTCTGAAGAATTTTGAGAAAGCGATAATAGAGTATATATTTGATATGTGAAAATCATATTTTCTGTGAGTGTCGTAATGATGAATTGATTCATTTTCGAGGAATTTCTCATTATTTTTATGAATGCTGACTTATAGACTAATGGGATAATAGAAAGGAAGTGTCCTCGAATGTTTAAATGACTCCTCGAAAGAAGTGAAATATTCGACAAGTATCTCACTAAACTTTTCAGGGTCCCAAAAACAACCCGAACAGCAAAGGTGCTACCCTAAATGATAATCCCATAGATGATCCTGGATTGTATTTCCCCAAACTACTGGGTGTCCAAAAAGTCTTGGTATGGGCTAATATATCCGAAGTTAGTGAAGATGGAGAAACGAAATTTTGGTAATTGCATATTTACGAAAGAATCTACTTCTCTACGCATTTACACATTGACTATCACAGGGGCGGCACCAAGGGATGCACCCTAAAATCTTAGGTGGAACCCTGTATCGATATGTAACTCATTTCAAAGGCTTTGAAGAAACAAATATTTATGCACAAACTGAAAGTTCGTACGGTCACCTATTTCCGATCTATAAGGGAGAATGATAATAAGTGTCAGTAGTGATATGCATGTTTTATAAGATGTTCATAATGACTACCACCAATCTCTTGACAATACCAATGTTACATCATATACATATCACATGTAGCTTCTTGATAAAGAAGTGACACACCTACTAGAATTCACAAACGTTATTTAATAATAACATTTTTATATTTACTTCAATATAATAAAGGTACTTACTCCACTTGTTCGCTTGCAACCTCGTCGATTGTCTGAACTTCGAACTGACTCCATTGAGAACTAATCTTATCTAACCTATCTAACCTGTTCCTGCAGAGAGGGAGTTAATAGTAGGATACAAGGGAAAATGGTGTTCCACAAGGCTCCGTAATTGGTCCCACATTGTGGAACATATACTATGATGGGGTACTGAATCTGAAGGTCCCTAGGGAAGTTAACCTAATAGGCTACGCAGATGACCTAACCGTAGTCGTAGTGGGAAGAAATGAAAGTCTGGTGATAACTTCCAATAGAACTGTGAAGGATATAGCCGACTGGATGACAGCGAAACAACTCAAGCTTGCCCCCCAGGAGTCAGAGGTAGTACTGCTGGCAGCAGGCAGAAAACTGAAAAGTATTACAATTGAATTGGAGGAAACGAACATCCGTAGCCAAGAATCTAATAAAAACCTGGGAATCCACATGGATCGAAATATGAAAATGGTAGCTTATGTTATAAAAATAGCAGAAAAAGCGGAAAAGGTATAAGCAACATAAGCAGGATAATTCCCAACGTTGGGGGTCCTCGAGAAGGTAGCAGAAGAATTATATGCTCAGTCGCCCAGTCTATCATGCTATATGACGCAACGATTTGGAAAAGAGCCATGGAAAAAAATTATACAGGAATATACTACTTAGTGTTCAACGGAAAGCAGTCATAAAAATAGTGTGTGCATATAAAACAACATCAACTAAAGCTCTGCAGATGATTGCAAGAACCCTCCCAATAGATCTGCTGGCGGAACAATGGTACAAAAGAACGTATCAAAAGGGTTAGCAAGGTTACAAATTATGAAAAAATGGCAACAATCTTGGAAGATAGACGATGGAAAGGCCAACTGGACAAAAAGACTGATTAGAGACATAGAACCATGGATGAACAGAAAATGGGGAGAAGTGAATTACTTCCTCACACAAGTACTAACGAGGCATGGGTGTTTTCAGGCGTATCTGTTTAGGTTTAAAGTGAGTGACACAGAAGAGTGCAAGTATTGCGGAATGATAGATACGGTAGAACATACAATTTTTGAATGCATACGTTGAGAAGAACAGAGACGAAACGCAGAAATGACGACAGAAGACTTAACACCGGAAAACATGACAGGGAAGATGCTCAAAAGTATAGAAAACTGGGAAGCCGTTAGTAAACCCAAGATCATCCTGACGAAGAAAATAAAAGAACTAGATGAATAATAATGAAGTACTGAAGAAAAAGGAAGAGCCCTAAACCACCACTACAGTCTGCTATTCCGAAGTAATGCCTGAGGGCGGTTCCAGTGTAGCCTGCTTGACTCATGAGTGGTTTTTTAGTCGTTTTTTAGTCGACACTATCTGGTCACAGAGCGACCAGGTGTCTTTCGAAAATTTTTCCACTCGCTGAAAAAAAAACCTGTTCTTGCAGCTCGGCATTCTCAAATATATATGCCACATTCGAATATTCTAGTATATTCGCGTTACCATGACGACAATTGACTTCACGATACAGAAGCAGGGCCACCATATTCAGAGGTGTTCCATCGGAGGAATTATTCACGTCACCATATTTTCTCTGATGTACGTTAAGACTTACTAATCATCTTCATGTTGGAAATAGTATAACATATGAGAAAGAAGGTTCATAGAACGGTCAGCAATACAATTCATTGCTGCGGGTATCACGAGATAATCGTGAGTTATTCAGTTTTGGTTGTATGAATACCTTCTATTTATAACGGTTGCGAAGAAAACAATGACTAAGAAGGTGTGGAGAATTAAATTAATGTTGAATTAACAATGGGAAAGAGGTTTGTATTGAACGATTCAACTAACGAACGAGTTCAAAATAAACTGAAAGTGATATATTTTCAGGAGAGATTATTTTTTTCGGAAAGAAAGGTTTTGGCTTTTTATTTCGCCAACTATATGAAAAGAAATGTTTTTATATGAAGAAGTAGAAAGCCAAAACCTCTCTTTCCCAAAAATTTTTTCTCACATAACAAGATACCCCTTTCAATTCAAACAAGATTCCTTTGACTGTGATTTAATCAGTTGTTTCTTTAAAATTCGAAATACCGTCATATGATCAACATTTAGCTGGCAAGCAATCTTTCTAGTACTGGTATTAGGTTGGTCTTCAATCAAATTAAGTACTGCTTCCTCAAGCTGTGGTGTTCGTACTTCTCGATGGCGACCACAATCCTGCGTTCTTTTGTCGAATGAACCATATTCTCGAGCAAATATTCTATGCGAAGGATGCTGCCGTTGAGGATACATTTCAGCATATCTTCTAGAAGCTTCTAACCCATTCCCCTGCGACAGACCGTAAACGTAATGCATATCAGCCATTTCCTCATTTGTGTATGCCATTTTAATAACAAGTGAATTACTAAAGTAACAAATTAAGAACAGAACAACAACACACAATTAGTATTAATTCAATTTCGAAAATTCACAAACTGACAGCGTCATACCAATTTAATTGTCACTATCGCT